TCCCCTGCAAGCGACTCACAGTCGCCATAGCCAAGGTACGCCCACTCGCACAATGTTTCTTTGCATCTGGATGGCGGTCACGGGTCGGATGCCCTTTTCGCCTGTTGGCGAGACGGGCAGTACGAAGAGAACAGCCAAGAGCTTGCTGACTACTCCGTACTGCACGGCTTTTGAACCCCCGTCGCTGAAAAATGTCAGCCGCGCCTGCCATTGGCCTGGGGTGGAGGCCCAGGACCCGCGGAACAGCCAACCAATCGGCTTTAACCGCCGGTATTCTTAGCAGCACGCTGGGCCGAACAGATATCATAGGCTGTGGGCAGCCTAGAAAGAAAGAAGGAATGAATGAATGAGTGAATGAAAGGAAAGAGGACAGGCACCGCTGGCGGCACTGGTAGCAAAGGCAAAAAGTGCCGCCGGATCATGCCATCCAGTCCATCTCACCTAGATTGGGCCGTACTCGCCGCAAGAATCAATCGACGCTGCATATGGTCGCAGGCACCAGGAATAGCAGCCGCAGTGACAACGACTGTCGACATCGGCGACCGATTTCATGACCACAGATGCACAAACACAGTGTTGACAGGTTGCGGTAGGCAGAGAGGCGACAGTCCTGTCTACCGTGTCACAGTCATAACCGGGCATTCCGGCAAGACGGACCAGCCACCCCGCGAATATACAATATACAGGTGACTACGGGCCGGAGGACGGAGTAGGGACCATCAGATTGGGACAAGGTCCAAGAGCCGTACGCGGGGATGATACTCGGTGCTCGCGGGCAGCGTATTCTATTCCCACATGGCCTCGCCTCATCGTCGCCTCAGGCCGGTGTGGAGACGGACCAGACAAGACTGAAAAGACCGAAGAGGCATACTTCGTTGACGCTTCTTCCCTGATGGACGCCACACCGTTTTCAAAGTGGAAATGCCTTCGACTTTTGCGGCGCATTTCCACCGAATCCGAACAATGCGCCGCTTGCCTCTCCCGAAGCTCATGCAGTCGGCCAGATGCCAAACCAGCCGGCTCCGCACCGTGAAATGACCGACTACTGTGCTGCTTTGACAACCATTTTAGCTTCAAGCCTCAACAGCCTCTGGAGTCATCTGCTAGTCCCTTGACGGCGTCCTACGACAGTCCGTCATCGCCAACTTGTTTCCCGAGCTGCGCGCCATCGCCTATCCAACACTCTAGCAGCGTCCTCGTGACGTCTCTTGATAACCGGTTGAGCCATCAGTGCGCCATACTCCGCCAGGTCCGTGGTTCTAACCAGATGCCGTATCGAGTCCTGTCAGCAAGGCTGATACAGCCTACTGCCAACCTGAAACAGGCCCAAGCTTCCTTTCACGTACTGTACTATACAGGACAACACCGAGTTGAACATCTCCACCATTACCAGTCTTGGACGATGACTATCACGCTTCCTTCTGGGCAGCTAACTGTTCCTTATTGGCGTGCCTTGCATGAACTCCAAGTCTGGCTGACAAGCTGTGTCATGCACTCGGTGCCACTTCTCTTTTCCTCTTGACGGCAACGTCTTGATATTATGCAGCTGTGCTCCCTCTAACTCGGCCAAGTCACCTGTATAACCTTACTTGCCACTAGCGAGAGCAAGAGTCATGCGTAGCCCGGCCTGTCAAAGTCCGGCTGTTGCAAGAGAGCCACATTGTCATGTGAGTTGCAGAATATGAAACCCGATACCCGCGCTTTCTAATGGGCTATGAAACAGAGAGGCCGTAGCTTCGTTCTAGAAGAGCCTAGGAGCAGGAGCTGTCCGAATTCGTCGACCTCAAACTCGTCGACATGGCGTAAACGTCCTCCGGAAACACAGCAGAATGGATCATAGCTCTCATCCGAACGTATTCTGGTTTCACAAAGTTGCCTGGCCCGCTCAGCATACAAATCAAGACTACAGAGCTTTTACGACCACCTTGGATATATCGTTCTCGGTGACCGGATGGATTTCCTTGATGCGCTATTGAAGGTGCGATGAACTGGAAGTGGATTGCTCTTGTGACGGATGAGCTGGTGGCGTAGAAGCTAGGCGCTGCACGACGTCGACCTTGACCTGTTTCCAAAACAAGTTGTTGTGCTTTCGTGTAAGTGAACCTCGTGTACGCGAACCGCGGGTTTTTGTTCCGCGGTTTGGGTACAGCTCACAAGGCAGCTTATTGTTTGTATTGCCCCCTCTTTCGATGACGGCCAACATGGAATGCTAGTATAGCGTCCATAATCTCCCCTTGCTGTCATGGTCATGCCGCCGCAGACTACCATCCTCTTTGAGAAGAGATAGACGCCCATCATTTAGTCCGCTGAAAGACCAGGCGGAGCTGACTCCTGTAACACTTAGATATGACGAACAGCGAATAACTTGGCCTTTCCATCTGCACTAGTTTCATCTCGGGGCTTAGCCTTTGGTCGTTGGGTGCCTATTACCCGCATAGCTCAACCCACGGACTTGAAAGTCTTGAACTGCCGCCCCTCACTCTGTTATCAACGTCCCCGCATCCTGCAATCCCGCAGTTTCGACTAAGATGGAATATGGGCACATATGATATCATGGGTGATCATTCACAGAGCATTTCATGGGTGGAATTTGTACAACGCAGACGATAGATAGAAATGACAGTACAGTCACCGAGTTTACCTTGCGCTTCATGTGAGAACGACGTTATCAGTCTTGTGTCAAAGATGCGGAGGCATATATCTGAAAAATGACGACGCAGAGGCTTGCTTCACCATGTTGCGAATGGGCCATGAACCAAGCTCAGAAAAGATGGTAGCCGCTAGCACAGAATTCTATTTTTTTTTTCCTTCTTTCTAAAACAGCATGTCTATGCCGAGCCCATTTGTCGTAACGCATGACAGCATCGGTCAAGTGCTGCCGTCGCAACCAGATTCAGTGGGCATCTGAAACGACTCAAACATCGACGCATCCCTGGATGTCAACACACAGACATATACGACGAGCAATGTGAGGCAAAGATGGAGAATATAGCAAGGGAAAAAAAAATATGGAGAGGGCATGACACTCGGAATCGTGGATGGACCTCTTGGTTCATGGGCGAGCGTAAGCGATGTTGCGTACTTGTCCCCAAGCGATTCCGTATCGTGCCGACCGAAAACTTGAAAAAAAGGGTCGAGTGTCGGGCCAAGATGGCGATGTTTTAGCAACAGCACTACGTACGGAGAATATCGAGCGCGGAGAGCCCCGGTGACGGTTGGCCGGCGCAAGCAAGCATTGAGCGTCCGTCGATGTTCGGGCGGCCCAAACACGCTGTCCCGGCTACCACGTGTGCAAAATGCACCCAAGACAAGGTAGTTGAGGGCGGCAGCGTAAAAAAACGAAGCCCGATTGCAGGCGTGGCCGACGCAGATGAATGAGTCGTAGAAACAAAACTCTTTGGCCTGCCATTTATCCGACGCGGCACCCTGAAGGGAGGGAAGGAGAAGAATAGAAGACGCGAATCGGATGGGACAGGCTTGTGTGCAACAAGACGGAAAAGAAACCGGATTTCAGCCCTCGTCGCCCAGCCAAGTTGTGCTTCTTGCTCTCGCATAGGCGCTTTGCAAAATGCCCTCTCCCCCCCCAGGGAATCTACATCTCAATGCAAGAAGTACAAAACATGTCGTCAGGAGGGGACAGAGAGAGAGCAAAGCACTACTGCAGGAACCCCCTCGTTTCATGGCCATCTATACTCTGCCTCGGAAACAAGAAAAGGGTCTTCTTGATTACTATTTTTTCCCTTTTTTAAGTTTTCTGTAGATTCATCTTCCCACTTGGGCGTTACTGTAGACGCCCGCGCCTGACGACCTCCTGCGTCTATGCAGCTTGGCAGAGATGGGCTGAAACAGGGTCTGGTGAAACGGAGGTGATGCGTCGTTTGGGATTGGCCGTTTTGGGTGGCGGGTTGAGGGTGCTGGATTTTCAGAGCGAGAGGGGTAATGCTGTGGCTCTGTGGATGGAAGGGTTCTCGGTTGTTGATCTGTCTTATGCGAGGGCCTTGTGTGCTGGGATGAAGCTTGCTGAGGGCGGGGACATCGCCGACCTCTGGTTTCTTTTTGTCATGGTTGGAGTCTGCGTGGCCGTGTGCTTGTGGGTGATTGGTGATGGGCGCTTGAACTTTTGGGGGGACGGGCGGGTAATTGCTTTCGCGGCGAGAGAGAGAGAGAGAGAAGTTGAGCGTCGTGATCACTGGCCTCTTTGCCGCTGGTGGAGTTGATGTTCGCCCTGGTTACATGATGCGTGTTGCTGGAGGCCGCTCACTCTTCTTCACTGTCGAATATTCATCGCAGGCCTTGCAGCAAGTAATGATGTAGATATGGTGACGGAAGCCCCTTTTTTTTTTTTTTTTTTTTTTTTTTTTTTTTTTTTTTTTTTTTTTTTTTTTTTTTTTTTTTTTTTTTTTTTTTTTTTTTTTTTTTTTGGTTTTCGTGGTAAAGATGAGCCTTGGCCGTCAACTACGAAACTCTTCAAGCTCTCTTCGATTTCATATATCGGTAGTGGAAATCAGGATGATAAAATAGCCCTGCTCGTTCACCTAGAAGGTCTATAGGGTAGGCCAGGAAGGTATTGTATAACTCGATAGTTCAACTTGCATTCATATCTCCGTAGCAGCAGGTGGCCATTATGGTCCGGAATCAACCTCGAAGCAAACTTGATCAGTGTGCATCATTATACATGCCATAACAGCTTCGCAAGCTCACAATGAAAACTGCCAATCACCCCTAGGAAACCTCACATCAAGTGGCTAATCAACCATATATGATATTGTCTTGCTCACATGGCATATACAGCACGCTACGCCCCCTACCCTATTCTTTCACCATAATCTTCCTCATGCTCCCTCTGTCCAAGACAATAAAGCAAAATTGTCCCCCCAACTCCACGGCAGCCATGCACCAGTCCTCCCCCGAGTTCTCATCATCATGAAGGGAAAAAAAAAAAGACATAGCCGGATCCAAGGGAAACCCCAGCGTACAAAGCTACCACGCGTGTCTACATCTCACGACCGCGCCTCCTCAAGCTCCAATTCTAGTTGTCTAATGCGCTCACTCTGATCCTGTGATCCAGAAGTGTTGACTTTTTTCTTCAAGGACTCGACTTCGCCTACTAGCTGGGTGATCTTGTCGTTTTGGACAGTGATAATCTTGGCCTGGTTCTCAAGCAACTGCTTGATCTGGTCCAGGGAGGCTTCGACGCCAACAGACGGCGTGGATGAGCGTGGTACGGCAGCAGTGGAAGCCGTAGTAGGGGTGGGGGTTTTGGGAGGAGGTGCTACCTTGGCTGGTTCGGGAGCAGGGGCAGGCTGCGTCTTGATAGGAACGGGCAGAGGCTTGGGGTCGTTTCGACCAGCAGCTCGCTGCGTTGGTCGTGAGATTTCCTCGAAGCTGGATGTCTCGTCTTGGTCATCCTGATCATCCCCTTCCGTGTCCTGGAACTTGTTGGCCATGTTAGAAATGGAGGCCTTCTGGTCGTTCATGGTGGGCGGGGGACCACGAGAAACAGGTACTGGTTTCTGGGCTTCCTGCCTAGGCTCCTCCTTCTTAACAGGAGCGGCAGCAGGAATAGGTTGAGCGGGGGGCTTATAATCAGATGGCACCTCCTTAGGAGCGCTGCCATCGTAGATGCTCTCCAAGTCAATCTTGGCTGGTATCCCGGTCTTGCCTCTGAGCCACTCCTGTGCGCCGACAGCAGGCTTGGTGCCAACGGCGGGAGGGAAGATATCAGCCTGGAAGGTTTCGGCGCGGCGCGGAACGGTGAAGGAAATGGGCTCGATGTAGCTGTCGTTGACGGTCTTGTAAGCTCGCATAATTTCATTTTCGTGGACCTGCATTCGTTAGCACGTTGGACGTTTGCCGTCTTGTTCTGAGAGTCGGCAAAGCGTACATTGATGCCACGTCTGGGCAAGAAAGCGATGCCTCGCTGAGGATCAGGAGACTTGTATTCGCTGAGGAATTCGAACTTGTCGTTTTCATATTCGTAGTAGCGAATGTTGCCATCACTAGGACCACGTTAACAGAGTGATGTCAAATCTATATAGAGAAACAAGTGCTTACCCTTTGCCAGCAAGGTACAGGCAGTTTGATCCCTCATCTACTCAAGTCAGTACTTCCCACTTCCCACCCAAACAACAGGAAATACACCATGCTTGTCCAAGACCTACCCCAGAATGGCATGCAAACACCAGAAATGGAATCCAGCATAGTGAACCCGCCAATCGGCTCCGTCCTTCCCGGTTCCCACAGGCCAATTTGTCGCTCACTCATTCTCGAGAAACCGGTAGTAGCAAAACGGTTGTGCTCGCCCATCCAAACAGCTCTGCTGTTCTTGGCGCCACGATGACCAGCAGCCTCGTGGACCGGCTTCTCCTGGCGAACATCCCATACTCGAATCTTCTTGTCGCGAGAGGTCGTCACGAGCATGGTACCGCTGGCGTTCCACGAGAGACTCTGAACAATGTCGCTGTGCTTCAGGGCGAGAGGAGCCTGGCCAGTACCAACGTCCCAAATCTTGATTGTAAAGTCGCCCGAGGCGGAGGCGAGGATATTCTCGGCGGCGGGGTTGAAGAGCACCTGTCCGACTTTCCTGTCCGACGATAAGGGGTCAGCAGCGTCTGCACTTATCGCCCATGTGCCCCCATGCATAATTCACTTGTCCCGGCGTACCTTGAGTGACCAGCGAGCTTGCCCACAGGCGACACATCAGTAATGTCTTCGGCGTCAGTATGCAGAGTAAAGTCTCTGGGGACCTCCCACACAAACACCTTGCCATCCTCAGAACCGGAAGCGATAATACGATCGTTGAACGGGTTCCTAAAAAAGACGTCGCCGTCAGGGTTGTCCGCAATGGGAAGTCCTTTAAGGAGAAAGGGTCGCAAACCAGTCCGTGTCCAAAACAGTAGCCGTGTGTCCCCGGAAAAGAGGAATCTGGTCGGGCAGCTTGCCCCTCTCGTTCAGGGGGATCACGGCAAAGGCACCACCGCCGGAAGAATCCCAATTGACGGACAAATACTCGGGGTTAACCTGTGAAAGCACCAATGGTTAGCCATAGGGGCTCGGCGCAGGCAGCACAATGCTTGTTCCGGCATTGCGCAGCAAAAGTCAGCGCTTGCGCCGCCGCTTTGTCTTACCTTTACAAGGTTGGTATCCCACGCATTACGACTAATGTGCAGGTTATCGTAGCAAAACTCCTTTCTCGTGGGCTTTCCAAATACATGACCTGTATTGCATCGGTAAGAGTCAGCTATGCCTATTTTTCAAAACAAGATGTCGTCGTGGTCGGCAGGGTCGTGAGCGAAGGGCAAGCAAGGTAGTGAAGTAAGTAGGCGTAGCTTGACATACGGTACTTGGAAGCCCTCACGAATCGGCCGGCCATGATGTTGGATACTGCTGCAGCACAGCTGCAAGGTTAGAGAGGGGGGATGTTCGAAGGGAGGAAGTGAGATGACGAGAAGGGCGTGCGCGTGAGGATTGGAAATTAGACAAAGGTGTCAATCGGAAGTGTTTCGCCAGCTGGTGGAGGTGGACTTGAGGTCACAGGACGGCGGGCAGGGTGACACCAGCAAGGTACATGTACATGTACGCGTACGAGACCCAGGGGGGAGCTCGGAAGTGGGAACAGTCTGGTGTCAACGTCCAAATACCTCCAAGTACCTACTACTAGGTGAGGTAGGAGTCTGGTTCAATGTTGCAGGGTAACACACTGACAGGTACCCGCCAACCGCCTAGAGGCACCAGACTTCAAATGTTGACATACTGTACTTCAATCTGGGGGGCGTCGGTGACAAGTGGCCAGCATTTGAAATACAGACCAGACCAGACACTAGATGGATTGATGTCTGATTCCAGTCCGCCACCGCCAGCGTCTACCTAGTTCTTATTATGTAATAGACGTATAAAGCACAGCAATCAAGAATTACACAGAGTAATACCAAGTACTATTATCAACAGCTCGAGAAATGGGCTCCGTCCAACCCAGTTCAACCAGCACGCCTCCTGGCTGCGCCCCGTTAACGTCGTCAGAATAGAGCGAACATGACTGTTGTATCAACACCCGGCTAGATTATGAGTATGTACCTGATGGCATCACCAAGTTCGGCCTATCGACGACTATCATGACAGCTCGTGGTCATGCTCTATTAACGTCATCAGAATGTGGCTTAATGCCTGGTGATGCTATCAAGTACATACTCATAATCTAACCGGAAATTGATACAACAGTCATGTTTGTTCTCCATCCTCACCTTCTACCAACACCAAAGCGCCCGTGATCTTGTTGGGGCAGGATCTCCGCATTTGAATGGGCACTCGTGTATTTGCCTTTCTCGAAGCCCTTTATCCCACCGGGTGTATTCTCCGTCGCACAAATATAACGCCTTTTCTTGTGGATGATTTCCGTTATCGGGACTTTATCAGCAAGCACCTCAACGAGAGTGTTGGCTCAAAAAACAGCCTGTTCGCCTCTTTTTTGGTAGTATGCTTGAACGTGTTTGCTTTTTTTATTGATAAAGCGACGTCGCATACTAAGACGAGAGGCAGGATCTTCAGGCTTTGTAGTCGATGCGTATGGAGAAGGATGTACTTGACCAGGATCGCGGATGTCAAAGGTCATCCACATTTTGTAGTTTCCCTCATCATCCTCCTGCAAGTCTATATCATCATCAACTTCTACTCGGCATGCGCCTAATTCGGCTCGACGTAGGTATGAAGTCCTCTGAGGAGGGGGTAAGAACAACTCGTAGTACTTCCCCCGGAATTTGCTAGCCTCATCGCTCCAGCCGTGCATAAATCCCCGAGCGCCGCCTTTTATTTGACCAGATCAGGTATCTGGCTGTCGCGCTCTATACTGTACTATACTAAGTATATTAGCGTATACTTCTTCGTGGGCAAATATACTCTGCCACAGACTATAGTACTGCTGCCGTGTACTTACTTGGTAACCTCAAGGAGCGCCGATTTCGTATGCCTATCGTGCACTTGCTTGGTGAGTCCAAGGAGTGCCGATTTAGTAGTGCTGTTGTGTACTTGCTCACGTTCAGCCGCTAGATGATCCTGTGCCGCGTCTTGTTTCCTCGCGGTGTGTCTTGGAGCTTTGAAGTACTTTGGTCTTCTTCTCGTGTAGACGGGTGAACATTGTCATCATCTTTCTCCATTGAAAGACAAGCTTTATTTAGATCTAGGAACTCGAGATCGGGATGGATTTTGACACTCTGGAGACTCGTATGAGTAAATATTATATCGTGAAAGAGGGTCTCAAAAGCCAGATTACCTCTCTAACTTCCTCTGTCAAAGCAAGCCAATCTTCTGCGTAATGTGCAGGTGGCTGTATGGATGTGATGATAGTGGTCCTCACAATAAGCCTTTTCCGAATGACGACGTTACTCTTCGGTTGGTAATTACGCAAAGTACGGCGTCTCGCTTTCGTTTCCTACCTGCATGTGCTGTCATTGCTAAAGTGGTGGAGGCGAGTTGGCCAACAATTGGTAAAGAGCTAAAGCCAAAAGCAAGAAAGGAAAAAAGAGCAGGTCCACGGGCAATATATAATAAGTTGGGCGTAGGAGAGGAGGAGTCTACCAGTCAACGAGCATGCCGACAAACAAGTGTACTCGCAAACGCGGACTCCAGCAAACGCAGTATTCTAGCAACCGAGTCTGCCAGCAAACGGAAGATCCATCCATCCCATGCGCCGGCTGAGGAAGCTGCGAATCTGCAGGTCACGCCATGTGGCATGTATGCACTGCGAATATTATGCACCGCGGATTTCAGTGACCATCCACCAGCCCAAACGCTTCACCTCTCAAGAGTAAAATGAGATTTTCACAGACACTTGGCGCTGTGAATGAGAGCTCGCAAGTTAATGCCATGGCATCCCGCACGCCCTACAAGACCAAAGCAACTTCAAATGATGAAATAGTTCGAATACCACCCGTAAGAAGGCCATAAGAATGCAAAAAGTGCTCTTGAAACCATGACATCGCAGCCATGGGATTCATTGTTGTGGGCAATAATAAGCCATTTTATGAACTCTCCACCCCACCGGGATAATGGCCGGAAGAAGCCCCCGTGGCCTAATGGCTAAGGCGTGAGACTTCTAATCTCAAGATTGGTAAGTGATCCTGTTTCAACAGAAAAAGCGTAAATTATGCTAACTAGAATAAAGCGGGTTCGAGTCCCGCCGGGGGTTATTTTTTGGCCTTTTAACCCTTTTCCCCCCTATTTTTTGCTAATTTTTTACTATTTTTAGCCTTATTATATAAGATTTTAGTACATCAATTTTAGCTCAATTCTTTTTTTTTGCCCCTTTCTGGGTCTATAATTAGCATATCCCTCTAAATGTGCGAAGGTGCGTTTGCTGTATAATGTATTAGTCCCACATTTCTGTAGTACCGAGAAGGTACCTTTACAGTAACAAAATCAAGCTGGTATTATGTCTTTTAGTGATAAATATAAGGTAGTATTTTATTTGTATAAAGTTATGAAATACTTTTATTATCATGTAATTTCTTCGTAAAATTAAGTATACTTAAATATAAGCTCTCTTAATAGGTGACATTCTAGTTTGGTACAGCAGAGGGATAATGAGGCCTCGCGTTATCTGACAGAACAGGAGGTCGGGCAGGCAAGACAACCAGCCCCACGTTTTATACCACATGTAACAAACGCTCATCGCCAACCCTAACCCAACCCTAAGAGCTGCTATCAGCTGCATTAAAACAGGGGCTAGTATCGGGTGAGCACCTCGACCTGATACCATGTCCTCATATAATCGAGATGCTGGAATCTGCGGCACACAATTTCTGATTTCTGGTCAAGTCACGCAGAAGCTGTCCATTATACTGCACTGAAATGGATGGTCCACGTACTAGCGACACCACCCGCCATGACACTCGTAAAGCCAATATTCGCGACCGACAAATCCGCCAGACATTCCTCCTCAAAAGTTTGACTACCTCCGTCCAAGTGCCTTTTAATCTCATAAAGATGCATCACGACTTCATCATTTGTTGGAAAGTCCGACCCTTTGTGCGCGAGAACATGCCGAACGCAGTGGGTGCATCTCGGTGACGCTGTGACTGGTCCAACCTTCACACTCATTGGCGTCAAGGTAGTGCCTCCATTACGACTTATATTGGTGAATACAAAATTTGTACATACAATCCTGTCATGCCGCCAAATAAACCAAGTCCACAAATCAAATACCGGCGACGCCGCAAACATTCTCAAGGCTGCTAAATGCCTCGCATTGTCCCTACTGTGCTTCAGTCACTCTCTACAAAACGGCCAAAATAGCAAAAAGCTTTCCAAATGCAAAAAGAGGCCAATAGCCTTGAACAAACACTCAACACACAAAGCACGTAAACCGTATATAACTCCAGGTTCCCGAACCTGTCGTGAGCCCGTCGTGAGACTTGGTGTGAGTCTGTGTCTTCGTTGCCTCATGCCATGCGTGTCTGTAAAACAAAGTCCGTAAAGGAAAGAAGAAGGTATAAAACAAGAGGCTGAGGGGTTTGAGTCTATGAGACCGCGCTCTTTGACCGCGAGTGTACACGTCGGCCCTCTGCCTTGCGGCGGAGCTGCTCCTCCCGCTTAAGAACAATCTCACACCACTTCGCTCGTGATCGAACACCGTTCATCTCGTCCATAGAACTATCTCGTCCAAGGATTTCAGACAAGACTCGCATCCACCCTTCCTTGTCCTCAGCAGTGTCGGCGTAAAAGTCGATTACTTCGCCATTATTGAACCGGATGCGGAAGCCTTCCTCAACAAACATGTAACCTTCTTCGTCTTCTGCAAATGCAGATCGTCGGCGCCTGCCACCTTTTCCAGCCGTCTCCTTCTCCGTCAATGCCCTTCGGTCATCAATTAGTCTCTTGGCATTCGAGAGATTGATGGTGGCCCGCGGTTGTCGAGTTGCCTCATGATAAGCAGTCAACTTGGTACCAACCAGCTTAAAATACCGTCGACGCCAGTACTAAAAGTAACACTGTCAGCTACACTTCTTTTTGATTGACTCCGGAATGGTTGCATTTTAAACTCACGGGACAGTCGCCTCCTTGTTGGCTTAAATGGCCTTCCCAGTTGCGAGAAAGCCGTTCTTCAGCAGCCTTGAGTTCCCGAACACACGAGTTCATGCTCTTGGGCATGTCATCATCCGTTGAATTCTTGGGACGAGGTACGAAGAGCAACTGAAGCTCAAGCTTTCCAATTTTATATGGGGCGCGCCGAACAACCGCCGCCGCTGCGTTTCCACGCTTGCTCTTGACACTGCAAGCAAAGCTCTCTTCCTCGGTGGCCCATTCGTTGAAACAGGCAATCTCAGCCATGTATGGTCGGCCAAAGCATCGGTGCTCGTGTTCTTTCAAGCAAACGTATGATCGAGCAAAGCTACCATCCTCGGCGGTTAGAGGAGATAAGAGCTCATATCCTGATGGAGAGCAGTTCCGCTGCCGGGCGAGCGCCTCTCTTTGCTGGCGCTCTTCTTCCTTTTGTCGGAGTTCCATCTCTCTGCGCTTCTTCGGAGATGCAAACACGCGGCTGAAAGTGGAAGTCTTGGTCTTGACAGGCTTGTTTGCTGTCTGTGCATTCAGGTATGCGGGTTTCTCTAGCTTGACATTGAGCGTCAACTGGAATTCCAAGTCGTTTGGCACCACCAACTCAAACTCTTGTCCAATGGGGGCATTTCTGGCTAGTTCAAGCCAGGCTGTGGTGACACAGTGGACGCCGTTGTCCAAAGTGAGGCTGAACCAAGTTCTCTCATTCTTTGGCAAGGGAAGATCCAGGTCCTTGACTCCCATGACCTTGACAAAAAGTCGGCCCCTCTCACCGCTGTCAATGGTAGCGACTTCGGACTGAAGGTCTTCCTCAAGCCCATGGTTGATAGTTGTGGCATTGCTATCCCCGCCAGGCAGTGGTGGAATAGCATCGCTGGCGCCGGTGATACGCTTGCGCATGCTGCGTGGGCGAGTCTCTCCGTTCCACGGCTCTACCACCCAGGTTTCTGGGCGGCCTTGCTTGACGGGAGAGCTCTGAGCAGTTCTCGCCCTGCTGTGGTCGTCGCCGTCTTTGTCGCTGGCCGTAATAACCTTTGTATTTTGTCGCATGAGATAGCCTCGTTTTTGTGCCTCAATGACACGTTCAAAGTCTTGATCAAGGCTGAGGCCCATGTCAATGTCTAGAGTAAGGCTGCGATTTTTGAAGCTTGGGTGACGTGCGATGAACTCGTCTTGCTCCAACAACCCCTCGATACCCATATCCCGTGACATGCGGTTGCGGTGTTTCTCAGGGATGGGTGGCACCTCGGGCACCTCACGACTTACCTGTCTGCGAGCTTCGCGCATGGCAGCAAGGTCCGAGGGGGTATTGGAGAGTCGAACCTTGAGCTTGGCCCCAGAGGCTTTGATAGTGGCAATTCTCTCGGGAATGGCAGGAGGGGACTCGGTCCTTTCTTCCTCAACAGGGTGGTGAATGACTGAGCCAGGACTGCCGGGCTCGTCTGCAAATTCATCATCAGGCCCACCCCAGCCACTGCCATCGTACTCTGGTTTCGACATGCGTCGAGTAGGCGTTGCGGGTCGTTTGGGAGGCTCAAGAATCTCTTGCTTAGTGCTTGTCTCACTCTCATGTATAGCTTCGTGCTTGACCGGCTCTTCAACCGCCTTGGGGGACCTGAACGGGTCATCCACCCCATCGAAGCCCAGTCCAGTTGTGAAGGGTTCTAGTTTCAGACGATGGTGGGGTGAGTGGTCTTGCTTCTCAGAGGTTGCTGCAAGCTCCTCAGTTTGCTGCGTAATCTGGGGCTGCTCAACGTATTCTTCCTCAGTCTGCGCTCCTTCTGCTACATCCTCATCGAGGGCCAGAGTTTCTTCCTCGTAGTAATCCAGGACATCCTCGTCCTCACCGTCTTCAGAATTTCTTGTGATGATGACGCTTGCTTCCTGCTCATAGTCGGACTCTACCAAGGAATCTTCCGTTGATGGGATAGGAACGTCCGGATCCAGATTCATAACGGACTCTTCTGCGTGCGGCAACAGACTCCTCTGGTGGCTGGCTGCGGGAGACGAGAAGTGGTGTCCAGAGCGGTCATCAACGGCGTTGTTACCGTTTACACGGCGCATAATGGATTCTCTGGAGATTTTGGGTGGCGTTTGAAAGTCTATCCCCGAGATATCTCCAATGGTATCATCGACCTCGAGAGCCTCCAGCGCCGTCTCGGACTCGGCCTCGGAGTGTGGAGTTCCGCCTCTCTCACGGCCGGCCCCACGTCGCATTCTACGCTCCCGCTGCTGCTCAGCGGCGGTTTTGCCGTCGGCATTATCGTCTGAGAGCATCATAAGCTTCAGCCGCTCCTCCAGGGTCATCTTTTGACTACCAAAGCTCTGGATATCAGATTTGGATGCGAATGCGGGTGGAGGGACGGGCAGGCTTCTGTGCGAACCGCCGAGCATTCTCTCTGCCGTCGCGGATAGCCCGGGAGAGGCCCGGTTTGAGCCTGAAGACTGGCTTCTAGAGTGGCCTGCGCCTGGCAGAGGAGGCAGTGGTCGATGGTCTCCGTTGGAGGTGGCAGAGTCAGAACGCTTGTTGGTAGGGGTTGTTCGACCGGTAGCCGCCATCATTGAGCCAGGCTCCGGTATTGGGCTGCTTTCAAACTTGCTGGGATCCAGAACGCGGTGAATCACGGGGCTCTCACCGCGCCAGTCGTCGGGCCCAACAACAGGAGTCTTGTCAGTGTCCTCAAGGGACTCGTCAAAACTTTCGTCCTGGACGTCGACATGGGCGGGGTCATAAAGGTCGTCGTCGTCGTCGTCGTCGTCGTCCTCAACTGAGTCGTAGCTGCCCTCTCGTGAATTTGTTCCGATAGATGAGAGGTCCGGTGTGGCCATTTCATACTCATTGATCTGAGGCGGCGCAGCGTCAAAGGTGACACTCTTGTGATGCCGGCTCAGGTAGCGGCCGTCAGGAAGTTCCTTCTCGCTCAAAGACGAATGCCCGGACCAAGTACCGGCGTCGGGGTCAAATGTGTTCTTGTTGAATTTGGTTGGTGAAAGAGAGGACTTGGTTGGGGAGGCCTGGTCTTTGCTTGGAGATCTCGCTGACTTTTGAGTAATCTCAGGCAGCTTAGGTGATATCTTGGACGGGCTCATCATAGACAGACTCGACCTGTTGTCGGGTTCTTGAAGATCTGA